AATTAGTCTAAAATAGTTATTCAAAAAGTATGCAAACAAAAAATATATGTATACAGATACTTGCGCTTAAAGTGAGCGCACTTAAAAAAAAATAAATAAATAATAATATTTATTTTGTGTCGGTACTTACAATTGAAAAAAAATATAAATTATGATTATATTATTTTTATTACTAAAAAAAAATATAATCTTAAAAAAAAAATTAGTTTTTCTTTTTTTTTTTTTGGAGGATAATGTGCAAATTCACTATAGAATGTATGTTTATATTTTAAGTTAAAATGTATTATTAAGGAAATTACATTTTAGAGTGTTACTTATATTAAAAAAAAAATAATTAACTAATAAGTCATATTTAATGTTTCTTATAAAAAATAAAAAATTCTATATTAAAATTAAGTGGTGCTTACACTATATTTTCCTTATTAATTTATTTGATTGACACGAGAAATTCAATTAAACAACCATTAATGAATCATGGATATAAATAATTTCTTTTCCTTAGGAATATTATCTTATTTGTAATAATTATAATAATTTTATTACTTCCTGAACTTTTATTTATATAATTTATGTTTCTATATCTCCAATACACACAAAAAAAAAAAAAAAAAAAAAAAAAAAAGGATTTATAAGAGGACATATTGTGTAATATTATTAAAAAAGTAGGAATATTTAGATATGATAAATAAATCTAATAAAACAAAATAAAGTGGATAATCTAAAATTAAAAATTAAGGAAATAAAAAACCAAAAAAAAAAAAAATAAAAAATAAAATAAAATGAGATAATATTTAACAAATGTATAATATAAATAAATTATTAATTTATTAAAAAGTTTTATTCTTAATTAAATATAGAGAGATTCAGCAAATATTCCAATAAACAAAAAAAAAAAAAAAAAAAAAAAAAAAAAATAGGATTTAAATTTTTAATAAAAATAAAGATTTCTATTAAAGTAAATAAATGCCTATTGAAATTAAAGAATGTTGAATGAAGTAGATTACGTAAATAAGGATCACTCATTCAAAGCATTTAAAAATATATATAAATACATCAAAACCATAGAGGCTGCTCTACATGCTCTTTATTAATTTGTTTGTTCAGTACTCTAGTAAAGTCACCGAACACCCAGTTAATAAAACACTACTTTAATAAAAATCCCTATTTTTATTAAAAATTTATATTCTTGACGATTATCAATTTTATTTACATATATTTTACTTATACTGTTATGAGTAATTTTTATCAATTCTAATACATTTCTATCAAATTAAAAAAAAATAAATAATTATAGAAATACAAAATAAATCCTATAAATACTACAAAACACGAAAGTTTTATTATTGTTAATGTTAATTTTTCTGATATAAATTTAAAAGAAAAATATACTTTATGTAACTTTTTGTCAACAATTTTTCTATTTATTAACCATAAATCATTTTTTAAAAAAAATAAACATATTTTATTTTAAACTATTTAAAGATTACCAAAAGAAAATAAAAAAAAATTAGCAACTAATTTTTTCTTCTTTTTTTTATATATTTTTTGCATGGCTAACTATATATTTTCCGAACTCATTAATAAATCAGAGCTATAAATAATTTCTTTTCCTTAGGAATATTATCCTATTTATAATAATTATAATCATTTTAACACTTCATGTACTTTTATTTGTACAATTCAATTTCTATATCTCCAATTGGTTAATAAAAGGCTTCATTAACCTTTTTGGAAAATAAAAGGACCAGTTAAATGAAGCATACGAAGTTGGTCATGCATACACACACACAAAAACAAAAAAAAATTGATGATTTTTTATGTTTATACTTTTTAAAATAAAAGTACAAAGACTGTCAAGAAAAAAAAATTTGATAAAAAAAATGTAAAAATAGTCAGGAAAAAAATTGATAAAAAAAAAATAAATTGAAAAAAGATTTGTTAAAAATAAATAAAAATAAAAAAAAAAAAAGAATTCTTTTTTTAAGGAATGAAATATTTTTATGATGAATTTTGTAAAAGAAAATTTTATATAGATAACAATAAAATTTTCATGTAATTAATATTTATATAATTTATTTTGTTTTTGTTAATAATTATTTATGTTTGTTAATTCAACAGCAATATAAAATAATTGCTAAATATAACTCATAATAAATAAACTAGTAATTATAATTAATTAATAATTAATGTTAAATAAGTATTTAAATTTTTAATAAAAATTAGGATTTTTATTAAAGTAAATAAATGCCTATTGAAATAAAAGAATGCTGAACGAATTAGATTACAATTAAAGATTACTCGTTCAAAGCATATAAAAAAATATATAAATATACAAAAATCGTAGAGGAATCTCTACATGCTCTTTATTAATTGGATTGTTCAGTGCTATAGTAAAGTCCCCGAACACCCAGTTAATAAAACACCAATACATACACTATTCAAATCATTTTAATATAATGTAATATCGATATTAAATATAAGACACTTTAATATTTTACATATTTTTACTAGTAAGAACAACTTCTACATATAGTATTAAAAAATTATAAATCATAAAAAATGTACTTTTATTAAATTTATGAGTATTTTTTAGAGAAAAATTAGTGTTAAAATATTAAAAATTATAGTATTTATACACACCACTTTTTATTAATAATACGTCAAAGATTCTAACAAATTAAATTTAAAAAACATAAATTCTTATTAAAATTCTCCACTAATTTTTACAAAGATGCCTTATGAAATTTAACCTTTTAAGAAAAAAGTTATATTAGGAAGGTACAATTATTGAATTAATTTATGCTTTTTAATAAAAGGCTTCATTAATCATTTTGGTAATAAAAAGGAATAGCTATACGAAGAATACGTAGTTGATAACGCAAACGAAAAAAAAAAAAAAATTATTGAATTTTTTTTTATTATTTTTTTAATAAATGGAGATACGTAAAAAAAGAATATATTCATTTTTTTTAAAAAGATTTAATGAAGGAGAGAAAATTGCTAAAATAAAAATCGGGAATAAGATTTAGTACCAATAAAAATGGTATCTTAAATAGATAAAAGATATTTAGATACAAAAGAGTTTAATTTGCATAATATTTATATTTTTAATTTGTGAGACAAAATTTTATACATATAACCATAAAACTTTTACGTAATTAATATTCATATAATTAATTTGCATTTTTACTAATTGTTAATGTTTGTTAATTCAACAGAAATATATTTAAATTTCTGAACATAACTCATAACAATGAAATAAATAAATTACAATTAAATAATAATCTTTATTCAATAAGGATTTAAATTTTTAATAAATATAAGGATTCTTATTTTGTAAATAATGCCTATTGAAATCAAAGAATGAGGAACGAAGTAGAGCACATAATTAAGAATTACTCGTTCAACGCATATAAAAATATATATAAATACAACAAAATCGTAGAGTTAAATCTACATGCTCTTTATTAATTTGTTTGTTCAGTACTCTAGCAAAGACATCTAACACCCAGTTAATAAATCAATACTATACAAATGAGTTACCTAAATTTCGTAAGTAAAATGAAAAATAAAAAAGCGTGCTATAAATATATAAAACTAAAAATAAAAAAGAAAATAAACACATTGTAATAATAATCAACACTTATCAAATAAATATATAAAGGCAAAAAAAAAAAAAATAAATAAATTTTTTTTGTATTTAATTAGAAGATTATAATAATATATATGCAAAACGTTATTTTACAATTCTGTTTTATCTTTATTTATCATAATTTTTATATCACAATAAAAAGGCATTCTTCTGAATTTTATAAGAAAAAACCTATTATATTTAACTAAATATATATTTTCATATTCAGTAAATAATATTTATATTAAATTTGAAACTGATAAGTATTACTCGTAAAAAAGTAAATTTATAAAAATGTATTTTTAGAATAAATTAAGTAACTTTTTCAAAAAAAATAATTTTTTTTAAAAAATATTTTTACTGTAAATATATGATTAAAAAAATAGTATTTTTTTTTTTTTTTTAAATTGTAATTAATTTATTTGACTTTTAAATGTGATTTTTATAAGATTTGTTATTATAATTTCTTTAAAGTAAATAACTATTTTCACTTTTTCCTTTGAATTTAATTACTTAATAAATTTTTTATTTTTTTTCAAATATTTTAAAAAGTAATTTTTTTTAAAAAATTGATATAACAAAAAATAAATATATGTATATATTGTGTAAATATTTATCATTAATAAAAATAAAAAAAAAAGAATTAAGATAAAAAAATGTTTAATAGAAAAATCAAAAAATGTTATATTTAAAAGAAAAATATTCATAAACAAAAATTAGTTTTATATTAAGTGAAAAATTGTGACAACTGTAGTGTACTGCATGATAAATACATGCGTTTAAAATTTTTAATTTATAGAGTTTTTTTTTCTATTTTTGATGGAGATATATCTATATAATATATGAAGATTTATTTTTTGTAAATCATAATATACTGTATATAAAATAATTTAAAGTACGACATAATTCACAGAAATTGGTAGTTTAGAAAAAAAGAATAAAAAAATCCTTTAACATTAAATGTATATCATTTATAATTTTTATGTGAATTAAATTAAAAATATTTAATTTTTTTATATAATTTAAAGATAAATAAAATTTTAATAAGATATTTTCAAAATAACTTTATCCGATTTATTATATTTTTTATGTATTTGTTAATTAATATTATTATTTTATTTTTTAAAGAATTAAGAATATTATTCCTATCTAAAGAAACCATAATATCATATGTAATAATAAAAAATTAGAAATTACATTTCTCATATAAAAATTATTTCCTATTTTTTAAATTTTAGAAATTAATGTAAGTTATAATAATATCTAGATTAATATTACTAATCCATAATTTAGTATTATTCAGAATTGAAACAGTTTTACACCTGAATTTACAACTTCCACTTGAATATTATTTAATAAATATATTAATATGAAAACGTTAACTTTATATTTAAAAATTACTACATTCCTTCTTTTAATATGGATGTATCAATGTTTTTATAACGTAAGTTAAAATTTTTACAAAAAATATACATATAGATATATTCTATTTCTAATTCTTTTTAACATTCCATTTGATTTACTATTCTAACAAAAGAAACATTCCTTTAAAAAATTTTTATTTAATCCATAGTGTGATTCCTATAAAACATTGATTGATAAATATATATTGCAAACAAAAAATAAGTTAAAATATGAAAGAATATTAACAGAGGGTAACACAGAAGGAAAAGAGCAAACAAACGCTCAAGGAGGTCTAAAAGAATGTCCATTAGATAGTGAAAAAAAAGAAAGTATGGATCCGGATAAATACAAGAATCCGTGCGATCCACGTAATAGAGTCAATACTCCATCATTGTTCGAGAGATTTAATAAAAAAGCAAAAGAAATAGACCCTAAATTGAGAAACCAAGAATTGAATATTGAATTGAGTAAAATTTCACATGACAATGTTAATCCATTTTCAAAAATTTATGAACGAAATATTCCAGATGAAGGAAGACAAATATTAATTCTTAGTAATACGCAAGATCACTCAGAATTAAAGAAATTATTAGACGTATTTAAGAGTGAGATAAGAGACAATGAAGCAGAATCCGAATTTAAGAAAGAAGTGAGAGACAATAGAACAGAATCCGAATCTGAGAAAGAGATGAGAGACAATAAAACAGAATCCGAAACTGAGAAAGAGATGAAATACAATAAAACAGAATCCGAATCTAAGAATGATATGAGAGACAATATAACAGAATTCAAATGGAGTAATGAGATGACAGACTATGAAACGGAATGCGAATCTGAATCTGAGAATGAAATGAGAGAAAATAAAAAAAAAAAAAAGAAATCAAATATTTTGAAATTTCTTTTTTGTTGTTGTTATAACCATTAAGAGAAAAAAATTAATGTTTTAACAGAGAATATAGGATTATTAATGCACAAGATTTACTTAAAAAAAAGAAAAGTTAATATTTTGTCTAAATTTTTTTTATAGAGATATATTTTATTTTTTATAAAAAGCAAAATTAAATGAGAAAAATTTTTTAGAAAGAAAATGTTTCATGTGAATATTTTTTAATTTTTAAGACTAATTTTTTCATTAAGTAATATTAATATAATTAAATTTTTTTTTTATTATTTATGTATTTTAATTATTTTTCAAAGCAGTGATCTAAATTACTGAAAATTACTTATAAAAAGCAATAAATATTTTGTGCTTAAAAATTAACAATCAATGAGAATATGTGTTTTTAATAAAAATACATAATTTTTATCAAAGTAAATTCACAATGAACCGCATTATTGTAGTTTATTTGTTTATATCATTAGTATTAGATTTAAAATCCATTTAATTACTAGAGAAAACTCCATATTCTCTTTAATAATTTCTTCTTCATTACTCTAGCAAATTCATTGAATGATAATTTAATAAATTAAAAATGTAAATTATGGAAAGTAAATAAATCAGGTAGTAAATGTAGAGGTGATTTATTAACTGAGTGTTCGCTGACTTTATTAGAGTACTGATTTATTAACTGGGTGTTCGGTGACTTTGCTAGAGTACTGAACAAAAAAATTAATAAAGAGCATGTAGAGATGCCTCTACGATTCTTGTATATTTATATATATTTTTATTTGTTTTGAACGAGTGATCTTTAACTATAATCTACTTCGTTCAGCATCCTTTTATTTCAATAAGTATTTATTTACTTTAATAAAGATCCTTATTTTAATTAAAAATTTAAATACTTATTAAACATTAATAATTAATTAATTATAATTACTATTTTATTTGTTATGAGTTATATTCAGCAATTATTTTATATTGCTGTTGAATTAACAAACAAACAATTATTAACAAAAACAAAAAAATTATATAAATATAATTACATGAAAATTTTATTGTTATATGCATAAAATTTTCTTTTGCAAAATTCATCATAAAAATACTTCATTTAATTCCTCCATTTCCCAAAAAAAAAAATCTTTTTTTTTTTTTCTTTTTTTTTTTTTTTTTATTCTCCTAGTAACAAATATTTTAAAAAATTGATTTTTTTTAATCAATTTTTTTCCTGACTATTTTTACATTTTTTTTTATCAAATTTTTTTTTCTGACATTCTTTGTACTTTCTTTTTAAGAAGTACAAAAAAAAAAAAAAATCATAAATTTTTTTTATTTTTGTATGTGTATGCATGACCAACTTCATATACTTCATTTAACTAGTCCTTTTATTTTCCAAAAAGTTTAATGAAGCCTTTTATATACCACAAAGTCACCGACACCCAATAAATAAAGCAATGGTTTAGGGTTATAACGCCGATGTTTTCCTTGTACCTGAATAGAAACTTTGTATTTGTTGTTAGGTTCCATGATTTTATTTTTTTTTTCAAGAGTCTTGTTTTATTTCTTAATACTTTTTCGAACTCTTTTTTATTTTCCTTATCTTTTAAGTTAGGTGTTTTAATAAAATTCTGAATAATTTCTTTATTCCAATTCTCTAATTCATCCTCCTTTACTTCGGGTTTAACTTCCATGATATATATATGTTTATCCTTTTTTTTTTATTATGACATATCCTAATTCGTCCATTACTGCTCAATAAAAGGCTTCATTAACCTTTTTGGTAATAAAAAGGATTAGCTATATGAAGAATACGTAGTTGGTTTTGCACAAGCGGAAAAATAAAAAAAAATAAAAAAAAAAAAAAAATTATTAAATTTTTTTTATTTTTTCTTTTAATAAATGGATATATGTAAAAATAAATATATTTATTTTTTTTAAAAAGATTTTATAAAAGAGAGAAAATTGGTAAAATAAAAATGGAGAGTAAGATTTAGTACCAATAAAAATGAGATCTTAAGGAGATAAAAACATTTACACATAAAAGAGTTTAATTTGCATAATATTTATATTTTTAATTTGTGAGAGAAAATTTTATATATATGACAATAATATTTTCGCGTAAATAACATTTATATAATTAATTTGCATTTTCACTAATTGTTTATGTTTGTGGTTAATAAAAAGCTTCATTAACCTTTTTGGCTATAAAAGGACTAGCTATGTGGAGAATACATAGTTAGTTGTGCTAACTAAAAAAAAAAAAAAAAAAA